GGCATATGGGGCTGATGCCCTACTCCTTTGAGCCACAGCCATGGCCCTAGGTATTTTCTCTGTCAAGATAGGAATTAATTTTTGTAACCTATAATCTGAATTCATGTGCATGTGCGCTTTTTAGAAACTGCATACCTACAGCCTTTTTTACTTGACCTTTTGATAATGATAATCACTCAAGCAATCACAGTCCTGTGAAACAGAAGAGTCTGGCTCACCTGCTTCCCAGGTGAGAGTACTTACTTAGGAGCTACTGAAGTAATTGATGTAAAGCTACTGAGTAAAGAAGCTGTGATCATTGATGATAAAAGTAGGAAGTTGCTGTCACTGTACATTTAACTCAGGGGTCCTCAAACTTTTTAAACAGGGGGCCAGTTCACTGTCTCTCAGACTGTTGGAGGGCCGGACTGCGGGCCCCGGGACAAGTCAGCTACTAAGCAGGACAGGCAGTGGTGGCAAAAACACCCAGTGGGCCAGATAAATGTCCTTGGTGGGCCGCATGTGGCCCACGGGCCGTAGTTTGAGGACACCTGATTTAATTACTACAACTGATTTTTACATGTGCACAGTATTTTCCCCTTTCTTGTTTCATTTCTTGTTTAATAATGACCTCTGTTGGTTTTGAGTTCTGGCCGTTGTTACTAAATGAGTTATTTAAAGCCAAAAGTAATAGTCTCTATTTGAAATTAATGGCTGTATTAGAAGCAAAGATCAACATTATATCAAGGTCTCCTTGCTTTGTTGATGTTTTAATAGGAGTCACTGTGTTCCATCACTTGTGACTATTTGGATGGTTTCAAATTTCTAACTTCAAGTCGTGCTGTTTGGAATTAGTATTTATTCTGTGACACTAAAGTTCCGCCTCTGTTTAAATCAGCTACCAAGCTGTAGAATATATGAGAAGAGGGGAGGATCCCACCACAGCTTGCCAGAAAGTGATTTCAAGGATTCAGAAGTATGATGCGAAATTCTTTGGGGCTATTATATGTGCCAATGTGGGTGGAAATTATGGTAAGTTGCATTTAGATTTTGTATTTTTGTAAATTTGCAAATGTTTTTAAAACATGCACTTTGAAATGTTGCAGTATACATATAATATACCACGTCCAGAGGGAAAAAGGAACAGCATAGAGTAGACACTGGGTAAATGTTAATTGGTGATCTGTCAAGACCCACAAAATGTTAAAAATATACCTAAAAAACCCTCCATGGACAGACTGCTGGTAGTTATGGTCCAGTCTTTGGCCGTTAGTTTTTTTGGGGATTTTATTTGTTTGTTTTTGAGACAATATCTCACTCTGTCAGCCTGAGTAGAATACAGTGGCCTCAGCCTAGCTCACAGCAACCTCCACCTCCTGGGCTCAAGCGATTCTCCTGCCTCAGCCTTCCAAGTAGCTGAGACTACATGTGCCCACCACCGTGCCTGGTTTAGTTTTTCTATTTTTAGTAGAGATGGAGTCTCACTTTTGCTCAGCTGGTCTGGAACTCCTGAGCTCAAGGGATCCACTAGCTATTAGTTTTTCTTTCATAGCCAAATGAAGCTCCAATAGCTGTTGAGATGGGCTAATCTAGTCAATTTTTACTAATGAGAAGCAGACAGGGATGAATTATCTTCCCTATTTCTTTTCATTATTTAATTGTCTCAGCCATTGAGATCTTCTTGGAGCACCAAAGTCCAGAATGCATTACTAATTAGTAAACCAAAGACAGCAGCAGAATTATTTTTGTGCTGCGTCTGAGGCATGCATGTTTTTTGCTTCATTTACTTTCCATATGAGCCGATCACCAACTTCAAAGAAGCACAGGCTGAAGAGGTCTTCTTAACGCAGAAGTCAAGACCCTGGTTTAAGAGCAACCACTGCTGATTCTCATTAGCACATTTCAGATGGGGAAGGGGTAGCCAGCTCGCTGATCAATGGGACTTACTAGGTTAGACTGCTTATTATTGTTCTTTGATCTTTTACTTCCCACAGTTCTGTATTTGAAAAACTTATTTGAAGAGTACTTTATTCTTTTTTAAGTACTAAGACACGGAAGTCAATAAAAGTTATGAGGGGAGAAGATGATGTAGGAAATAAGTCAGTTTTATTGATTGCCTCTTAGAGAAATAAACCTTACTAGAAGTCTTGAAGTTGGATTTCATAGAATGGGAAAATGATAATGATATAATTGTAGATAAATTTCAAATTGACTTTTATATATAAAGTAATGGCAGCAGATATTTGGGGAAGAGAAGATAAGGTTGACCAGACAGAAAGCACCTTGACAAATAACTCTCCTTGCCTTCTGTAAGTGTTAGAGCAGAAAAGAATAGGCGTTGTGGTAGGGTAGGGAGGGCAGTATGGGTGATAGATGGAAACGTTCTAGTGGCGAGGGAAATATAATTTTGGGAATATGTCTGGATAATTTTTTTCTAAGAGAAGGCTGTGAAGACAGTTAAATAATACTAGCAATGGCGACATGTATGTGGAGCAAAAAAGTCAGCCTGTTTTATGTGAAGTTGAAAGAGATGGCTCACCCACCACCCGGCCTTGGGCTCAGGAACTGTCACTACGGAATACTAAGAGGGTGACACTGGTGTACTTCTGTGCAGCTCCATTAGACAGGAGGTACACAATGGCCAATATCCAGGCAAACGAGCGGGATCTGTATTTGTTGTGAATACGTGCTTCCTATGTATAACCAAACAACTTTCTCACTTACGACCCCAGGTGCTGCCTGCAATAAACTTCCAACATTTACTCAGTTCAGTTTCATGGTTTACAATCCTACAAAAAATCAGGCAACTGAGGAAACAGTGAACTGCATCTAATCCATCTTTCCTATCGTCATTTGTATTTAAAGAAGAAAGAAGCACGGGCTGGGAGGTCACTCGCTGTCGCCATCAAGTCTTCCTTAGATTTTCTAAAATCTTTTTGTGAAATAAGCACAAAAATAAACGAGGTGCTGAATCGTTTCTGTAGTGTACTTTCGCTTTCTGTAGCTGAAATGTTTTTATTATCAGTTGTTATTTAAGCTTTGTACATTCCCCAAAAATGTGTATGTGTGAGCAGTGTGTATGTTTAAATTTTAAATGATATTTGGATTTCTGTGTTGCAAAAAATTGCTATTTTGATGATTTACTTCCACTGTGATATAGTAAAGCCAAAAGAAATGGCCTCTATTTAAATGGATAAAATATTGGTGTATACAAGTCTTTTAGACCCAAAGAAAAATGCAGCAGTGAGTCTCAGCATGATTAGCCCTGATTGAATTCCAAAGTGTTATAGGGACACATCTCTTATCCCTGATTATTAGTTTGACCTAGTATTCCCTAAAAGCTTAAAGAAGAAGGATGATATTAATAATTTAAATGCTTTTTGTTTTACATGTAATAGAAGACGGGACAATCTTCTGATGCGCCATTAGGTTACTGTTCTTTACTTTTTTTCCTCTAATGGAGCTTTCAGTGTGTGAATGTTCTTAAGCTACAGAAATCTCTGATCTTTTCACTCCTAATATTTAGTATTGATCATTTCTTTTGAAAATGATTTACTAATTTCTTATGCAGAGGTAAGTATTGCAACTTGAGATAAGTAAGTAGATACGTTGTCTAGCTGGGTGTTGTTTTCCCCACTTCTGAATTAGCTGTGGGACTGACAACTGTGCACAAGTTGGATCTGTTTTCTCAGCATCGTCTTTTCCTTTGAAATCTTTTTTAATTTTAATAATAATATTTTAATTTTAATAAAACTCACGTACAGTCTTTTCCTCAAACTTTAGCATTTCTCCTGCCTTTGCTGTACTCAGTGTTTAGTGGTCTTCCTCGTTTAGGTGGAGAGCTGTAGTTTGAGAATTGTAAAGGTCACTTCTTCTCGGACCTGGTTATGTATCAAGAGTCTGATGAGCCTCTTTAGGAATAACTTCTGTCCCCTACACCAGATTCTCCACAGTAAGGACTTAAAATATGGAATTAGCAACTACTACATAAGGATTTAAGTGCTGTAAACAGAATTTGGTAGCCTGGAAGCCAGTCATGAAACAGCCCTACAGGCTCACGCTCCCAGAAGAGCACATCTTACTTTTGAGGGTGCCCCTGAGCCACTTGATGGGGGACCTTGGAAGAGGCGGGAAATGAGACTTAAACTTATAGTGTATTTCTCTTCAGGTGTTACTCACATTTTTGTGTATTTGCTATCCATGAATAAATTAGGCTGTCATCTACCACCTGGAAAAGGAGAATGAAGTTTAAAGTATTTGTGTCTTGTCACTGCCCAGCAAGTGAAGAGTTGACCCTACAGAAACCGTCCATGGGGTTTTTGAGAGTATTTTCCATTCACACTCTTCCTGAGAGAAGTGATTTCCCTATAAATCTAAGGTAGAAAGAAGTGGCATTAGCTTTGAAAGTAGGTTTATACAGTTCTATGTTTGACTAAAGTAATATTGCAGTACTACAAGTATGTTGCTTTTTTTTTGTAAAAAGATAATTTTTTTCCTGTTTGGTTGCTGGTGATGCTGTATACAAAGGGAATTTACTTGATATCAATGTCTGCTAGGGTTGTAAGGAAGACATACAAAACGAGCAAAATAGCACAGTTGGTACAGGAACTCAGGAGATGCTATGAAATCAAAGAGAACAGGCATAAAAGGATTTACTGGTAATCAAGAAATGAGCTACATCACTACAGTGATTTATCTCCAGTGGGGAATGTGAACCAAATATTCTTTGTCTACACTTGATTAATCAAAAAAAGAGGTGTAAGCATCACTTCTCTTTTAAGGACATGGAGACTACCACCAGGAGAAATCAAGAGTGACTTCTGGCCCGGCACAGCTCACACCTGTAATCCCAGCACTCTGGAAGGCCGAGGCAGGTGGATCCCTTGAGCTCAGGAGTTCCAGACCAGCTTGAGCAAGAATGAGACCGTGAGTCTCTATGAAAAGTAGAAAAACACCAGCTGGGTGTTGTGTTGTGAACCTGTAGTCCTAGCTACTCAAAGGCTAAAGCAAGAAGATTGCTCAAGCCCGGGAACTTGAGGTTGCTGTGAGCTATGATGATGCCACTATACCCTACCCAGGGCAACAGAGTAAGACTCTCTCTCAATTAAAAAAAAAAAAAAAAAAGAAAGTGATTTCTTATACGGAGGGAAGGGGGATATAAGAAGATCATTGGGCAGTGCCTATAGCTCAAAGGCGTAGGGCGCCGGCCCCATATGCCAGAGGTGGTGGGTTCAAACCCAGCCCCAGCCAAAAACTGCAAAAACAAAGATCATTGATGATTCCATGATAAGCTGCTTTCTAGAATTTTTATAAATCTTACATTATGTTACTTTGATAGTATATCAAGGCTCATTAAAGCTAACTTTATAAAATGTGGTTAATAGCAACAGAATTTTAAAACTAGAACACAGCTTTGAGATAAGATAACAAAGTCTAACACCTATATATTTTATGGATGAGTAAGTTGAGGCTTAGAAGTGGCTTATAATTTAGAAGGCCAAATAACTTGTGTCCGGGGCAGGTCACCTGTCTCTGCCTGTTATGTATGCTTATCCTACCAAGGGTGCAAAAACTATAGTTAATTCTATCCTGCAAAAGTCTGGTGTTTCATTTGTTTTTTCTTCAAGATTAGCAGTAAAGTTCCCAAATTCCAGGTTAGATATGATACCCAGTTTATTCACAATATGCTAGAGAAATTTGGATATGTATATATGTATATGTATGTATATGTAAATTATATCCTTATAACTTTGAATTCCCATTTTCTTAAAATATGAGATCAGACAATTAAATTTGAAGTCCTCCCCTTGACCATCTGGTGACTATACTGATATTCAGCAATGAGGTAGGTTATACTTCTTCTAGGATAAGTTTGAGAACTTAACTGTACACTGAGAGAACAAATCAGGCCTGCAGCTCCACTTCAGGAAAATGATGGAACTTGTTCTGGCTGCTGTTCTACACAGAAGAGGGGCTGGCCGTGGTGTGCAAAAGAAAGGCCAACTAGCCCTGAGGTCTCAGAGCAGACTGAACATGAATTTCTACAGAACCCGATCCATGTCACTGTGACCATGTTAGTAGTGTTGGTAGATTTTGCCTCTCTCCACTCTTTTCAATATAGTACTGGAGATCCTAGCTAGCCTAAGATAAGGAAATAAAAGGTGTGCAGATTGGGAAGGAAACAATAAAAACTTTTTCAGATGACATAAATGATTGTCATCTATGTAGAAAATCTAAAAGAATGAACAAAAATAATTTCGTAGAACTAATAAGCAGTATAGCAAAAGAGCAGCATTTAAGGTTAGTATACAGGAGTCAATCACTTCCCTACACACCAGTAATTGTTACAGAGGGAATGGCCTGGGAAACAAATGGCAAAAATGTTTTTTGTCTCCCCAGCTATTTGGGAACTGAAACCTGTATCCCTGCCTCAGTCCCATGGTAGGGAGGGGAAGGGGAATGGCTCTTGTTTTTTGTGCCACAGCTCAAGGGAATTGTCTGGATGGAGGCCACAAGATAGTCTTAGCCAAAGATGGGATTATGGAATTAATCAGGACCTTAAAACGCTCTGTGCTTCTGCTCAGAAGCAAGAATTTGGATTTGGAGACAATAGTCTGCTGTTTTCCCATTTTGCCAGCAATGTAATTAATTTCTCTTTCCTTTTGACATGGCCTCAGGATAAGTGCTGAGCTCTCAATAATACAACACAGAAAGGAAATTTGAAATAAAAAAAAAAATATATATATATATGGATATATCACATTAGTATGAAAAAGAATGAAATATTTAGGTACGAATCTAACAAAAATATGTATAATATCTATATGAAGAAAGTGGCAATCTCTCCCTTATAAAAAACTAAAAATCGAGAGAGATTCCATATTCACAAATAACAAAACTTAATATTGTCCAGATGTCAGGTCTTTCCAACTTGATCTATGGATTCAATAAAATTCCATTCAAAATACCAACAGATCATTTCATGTATATTGATAAACCGATTCTGAAACCTATATGGACAGGCAAAAGACCAAGAATAGCTAACACAATATTGAAGGAGAACAGTTGGAAGTTCACCCAACTTCCAAGACTTAAAGCTACAGAGTCAGGATACTGTGGTACTGGTGACAGAATACACAGACTGAGGGAACAGAATAAAGAGCCAGAAACGGACCCACGTAAATGGAGCCACCTGATCTTAGACAAAGGAACAAAGACAATACAAAGGAAAAATATAGTCTTTTCAACAAATGGTACAAAACCAACTGCAAATCCACATGCAAAAATGTGAGTTGGACAAAGAACGTAAGCTCAGCTCCTCTTAAAAATTAACTTACAAAACCTGTGAAAATCATTCCAGAAGGCCTTGGGTATGGCAATGACTTTTAGAAGAGTGGATAAACGCACCCCAGTACATCCAGAGAATGAACGGTTACTCAGTGCTAAAAGGAGGGAGCTTTTGAACCGTGAGAAGAAGACATGGAGGAATCTTAAATGCATATTACTAAGGGAACGGAGTCAATCTGAAAAGGCTTCATACGGGAGGATTCCAACTGCATGTGGTTTGGGGAACATAACATCATGGGGACAATAAGACCATCGGTTGGCAGGAGTGCAGGGATGAATGCAAGGAGCGCAGAGGACTTTCAGGCAGGGAGATGACTCTGTATGATCGTACAGTAGTGGATATATGTCACTGTACTTGTGTCAAAACCCACAGGCTGCACAACTCCAGGAGCGAACCCTCCTGTAAACTGTGGACTCTCGGTGGTAATGACGCATCCGCCTGGGATCATCAGTTGTAACAAGCGTGCCACTCTGGTGGGGGATGTTGCTAACAGGAACTGGGGATGGGAAAAGGAGTACATAGGGACTCTGTACTCTGCTCAATTTTGCTATGAACCTAGAACTGCTCTTAAAAAACAAACAAACAAAAAACACTTCTCTGCACAGTTCCACTTGCCCTGCAGGTGGTGG